AATGACCAACAGAGATGATGTGAAAGATACGTTTTAGGAAGGACTTGAATTCCGCATTTCAGCCACACAGAATCGATAAAGTTTGTCATTCTTGATGACTTCAACGCTGATGACCATCAGACCTTGGAAGTAATTATAGGCATGCATGGCGTAAGCAAGTGCAATATCAACGGGTTTCAGGTGTTCCTGATGTGCATCAAACATGATCTCGTCATCACCAACACTTTATTCCTTCAACCTATTCATAATAAGGCGTCATGGATGCATTGACATATCATCTACTACCTACTACATCATCACCAGATAAAGGACAGAAAGGATGATGGGCATAAAGTATGTACGAGTGACGAAGGTGCAGATTGTTTGACGGACCACATGATAATTTTGTCCAAATGCAATCTTCTCACCTATCCCAATGTAAAAAGGTTGAAAAGAGATTAAACGTCTACGAGCTGAAAAATAACTAAATCGCGAAAAGCATTTCATGTATCCTGGATAGAAAACTAGAAGACATGCAGATTGACCAATCAATTCAGAGATACTGTCTACTACGACGCCTTCTCAGATCTTGGACAGACGACACGAAAGAACAAGGACTAGTTCAATGAGAAGAATCAGGAGATAAGGACATAGCTTGCAGAAAGAAACAGACAACACATAGCCCTTCTAAATGACCATTCATCGGGCTGCAAGACGGCAGTCTTCATCACTATACGCAGGACATTTCAATCAAAGCTTCGCAAGATAGGACTCCTGGCTCAGCAGTAAAGCAGACTAGATTCAGGCCTATGCAGACAGAATCGACTCAAAGCGCTCATGCGACGTCCTGAAAGCTGCTTACGGCTTACAGTCTTCTGGGTCATATATCCGATTTAGTGCAGATGGGACAAACTGCATATTGATAAGGCTGCGATCCTGGAGCGATGGGCCACACACTTTATTGATGTCTTCAACCGTCCATCATCCATCAATGATTAAGTATTAAAACGCTTGTCTCAAGGGAAAACTACTACTGCGCTGGATACTCCTCCCATAATAGAAGAGGTTAAGCAAACTATCAGTCATTTATCCTGTGGAAAACTCCAAGGTTCATATCCCAAACAAAGCTAGGAGACCTATTTTGTTGCAGAAGCTCACATACCTCTTTCAAAAATCACGGAACGATGGACTGGTCACACGGGAATTTAAAAACTCCTAAATAGTCAACGTCTGTAAGTGAAAGGGCAACCGTAATTGCTGAGACAACCATAGATGGATCTCTTCCTGTAAGTCATTGACAAAATACTTTATTGTGTCCTGCTCAATCGCCTCATTCATCATCTGAAGCAGGGTATACTTCCAGAAAGCCAGTGTAGTTTCTGCAGTCCATAGAACAGTCGACATGATACTCTCCAGCATGACTGCCATTAACAATACAGAGATCTCTTCACAACCTTTATTTAATCTAACCAGGGCGTTCAACAAGGTCTGCTTTGGAAGATCATGGCGAAATGCGGCTGCCAAAATAAGTTTATCACAGTTAGTCGCCAGTTCCACGACGGCATGATGGTCCATATAAAGTATTTGACCTTGCTTGACTCTCATCTGTTTCTGTATTCCATTTTAGCATTTTATATAAGGGATGAATTATTGTCAACTAGTCATTTCTACCATTAACATCAGTCTTAGAGGAATAATTGAGTTGAGATTATTTGACATGATTTATTTATTTAAATTATTCATTGGAATTAGAGTCTGCAGACTTTTGTAATAAGTAGCTGTTTTGGATTTATTGTAAATTAATTTAAAGACATTTGGAATTATATCATTGTGATACATCAAGACAATTGGAACAGCAGCACAAAAGATGGAACTTTATTCAGAATAGCAGAGGATCTCATTTGGAATACTGTATACTTTTGGACCTCTGAAAATTTAGGATTGTATAGGACTTAATCACCATAATGTAAGTTATTCTTCATTTTTTACTTTGAAATTTAGAAAGATATATTTTGAATTTTACAAAACCTGTTGGCTTTGCTGTTTTCTGTTACTTAGTTGAAGATCAAAGTAACAGTTCAAGATCAATGAGTCATAACAATTGGGTATGAAATAGCTGCTAAACGCCCAGCAGCTGTTATGTGCATTAGAACTTAAATGGCAATTATGTTGAATGATTGGACCATTTTGCTCATTGTCCATTCCAAGGTACTGATGCTCTTTTGTCAGAAAGAATGTCCATGAATTCAAAATAAGACTTTTTCTACTCTTTAGCTACCTAGTGTTGACACCATTTCTGATATTCCTCAGTGAGACGTTTTCAAATTAGTCACTGTGGCTAATATACTGGATATAGGATAGCACCACATGCATTTAGGACAAAGACACCATTAAAAAACTTTTGGGGGAAAAACCCAATGTTGATATGACCTTCCATTCAGGAGAATTAGTAACAAGGTTTTCAATATGTTCACTGTAGGAGCCTGTTTTGAGGTCAGATTTTTCTTGTGAAATACCAAAAAGACAAAAAAAATTGTTCAATAAACTGTTTATTTAAATATTTTTTAAGGAGAAACAGTAATAAAAAGATTTTCAAGCGCATTTTTGGATTAGATCTCTGAACTGAATCAATTTGATATAGGACCAACTAGATTTTACAGGATGTCTTCTAGTGATAAACTCCTATAATATTACTTTTCATTCAGGAAGAGTGACTAAAATATGATTTTCAAGATGGCTTTTGAAATCTGATCATTTTTATTTAGGATGAACTAAGTATTATAAGAAGACTTTTAGGTAAACGTCCATGTTAATATTACCAACAAAAGAAATGGCAGTAAATAAGTTTTCAAGATGACCCTTGGTGGCCACATTTAACCATTTTCATTGAGGACCAGCTAGATATAATTTTAAGTCTGGTGAAAACCCTATATTGTAAGACTTTTCATTAAGGAGGAGTTACAATAATATTTTCAAGATGGTTGCTATACTGGATGTCACATAAGCACCATTATCATCTAGGTCCAACTAGACATCATATAAAGTCTTTTACTGAAAACCCCATTTAGGGTAGAGATCACTAAATTGCAAGATGGCTGCTGTGGTAGATGTACCTGACATCTGAACAGCAGTATTTTCATTTAGAAGTACCTAGAACCTGGGATTAATGTGTGTGTGTGTGTGTGTGTGTGTGTGTGTGTGTGTGTGTGTGTGTGTGTGTGTGTGTGTGTGTGTGTGTGTAATGTTGCATGGCAATGAAGTGCAGTTTTAAAAAAGAACAAAAACTCTTGCTAAAGGGTGGATAGTCATCTGACCATCCCATAAGCTTTTCTAGTCTAAAACCAGTAGAGTTGAAAAAGCACATAAATTATTTTCATTAAAAAATTGCAACGTGGAAAATTATTGTTGTAGTTTCCATTGGGTTTAATACCATTTTTCAGTACAACATAGGCTATACATAGCAGCCAGTATAAATGGTAAAGGAAAAACCTAGGAAAACCATGGAAAGAACCACTGACCAATGAGAAGCTACTGGCAAGCTTTCTCATATACTAACATTAGCCAAACGAGAGACTCGAACCCATGCAGACAGAGGTGAGATGGCAGTGATCTGTAACAGTGAATGCTTTAGACCACTCTGGGCCCCGCATTGTGGAAAAAAGAAACATATCTTGGAAGTGTCCTTCTTTATGAAAACTGCAATTTTTCATCAAAAAAGTGTAAAGTTTTCATTACAGACTCACACTGACATGTAAAGGCACACCATTGTGAAAAGTGACATTTTTAATGAAGACTATCCTAGAGTTTATCAAATATTTGTGAAAAATTGCTTGGATGTGTAACTGTAAAAAAAAAAGCTGGGACTGCATCTTGTTCCTTAGTCTTGGAAAAGGTTACACTCTCCTTGTATGTTGCGCTTTTCATTTAAGTAACACTTATGTGTGAAAAAAATTAGCATCAACAACTACAGGCACTTCATTTGTAAGAGAAAGTGAGTCAAAATCCATTTTCCTGCAAAAATGCTTGTTTGGGATAGCTTCTGAAATTATGGTGAGCTTGAAACAGAATTGCTCTGTTATTACATGATTATTAAACAGAGAGATGCAATTTAGTCCTGGCATGTGCAACTTCCTACAATGATAGACCAGATTACCATTTTTAAAGCCACACTGTATGATATAAATGTACCTGGATAAAACTAATATTGGCTAGATGCAGCCTATGGGCCGCAGGTTACATATGCTTTCTTTGACTAATAATTAGCCAATCAGTCAACCAATTGGATTATTCAGATTCCATATAATTCTAATAATTTTAAACTGATGGGTATACAAACGTGTGAAGACTGGTAAATTTTGGTTAGTCACAAGCTGAAGTTTTGGAAAAATTAGATCAAAGATTGAGTAAAAGAAACTGCTAACTAGGTTGGTACAAAAATAAAAAAACCATTGCTTTAACTACTAATTAGCCAATCAAGTCAACTAATCAGGTTACTGGAATTCCATAGAATAATTCTAAGAATTTCAACTGATGGGTATACAAACGTGTGAAAATGGGTCAATTTTGGTCAGTCACAAGCTTAAGTTCTGAAAAAGTTAGATCAAAGAATGAGTAAAAGAAGCTACCAATTACATTTGTAAAAAAATTATACCAATAAAAAAAAAACAGAAAAAGAAACGGTCACTAAAACAAGGCTAACTTTATAGTATAAATTATATCAATTGATCTGTTTCTATGCTTACAGTTATCTGGCGGTAGGAAGATCCAGATATTGTGTGTGTTTGTGTGACTTGGGTTTTTAATGTAGCTTTAACAATTTTTCAGTCATATCGCTACAATGTCTGCAGTGTGACAGTTTATAATGATGTTTAGCCCTGGTATATCAAGCCACAGACACATGTCATGATGTCCCACCCAATCACATTATCCTGACATTAGGCTGACCAGTCCTAACACTAACCTCTTAATGATGAGCAACAAGCAAGGCAGCTGTTAGTACCATTTTTGTTAAGTTTTTGGTATGACTCGGTCGGGATTCGAACCAACAACCTCTCGCATCTGAGGTGGATGCTTTAACCATTAGACCACTGGAGCAGTTGGTCCAAATATTCAAAACTTAACAGACGGACCACATGCAAAACATAATGAAGTGTTGATTGTGTAAATCATTTTATAGTTTGAAGCAAAAGAGATCTTGATCAAATGACTGAATTTATTTCAACCAAACATATTTGTGTATAAACTTGAAGTCAACCATATGGATCCCCGATAAACCAGATATGAATGAGAAGAAAATTTTAGCACACTGACAAAAAATAATGGTAAATGTTAAAACAAAAAAAGCAGAACATTCCTTGAAGGAGAAACCCATTCAATCAAAAGTAAATATACACCACACAACAAAAATATAAATGGGAAAGATACAGCAGCAATGGCCCCCAAAGGCATACAAAACAAAGATAAAGAAAGAATATAATTTAATACCTAAAATGCAAGGAGAATACATTATTCTGCATAAATCACATCCCTCTGAAAGTCAACAATCTTCTCACTCAAAAAAGTCACCATAGGTTGAATCTAAAGCCATAGTGCTTGCTTCTATTTCTTGCCTTTTTTGACAGATGAATGGCACACTGGGCCTCTAGTGACAGATGGATTGCATATTGGGTCTCTAGTGACAGATGGATGGCATATTGGGCTTGATCTACATGACAGATGGAAGATAAATTGGGACTGATCTACAGCCTCAGCCCTGCATGAACCCTCCAGCTTTAGTGAATGCAATATTTGCACATGTAATAATTCACATATTATGCAACTTGATTTTATAACTGACAGGATTTTAGGTACTGATGTGTTAATCACATGATTAATTATAATCCTCTATATTTGACCTATAATAGACAATCTGTATGGTGTTTGTAATAGAACTATGTAATATGTAATGATTATATATATATATATATATATATATATATATATATATATATATATATATATATATATATATATATATATATATATATAAAACATCACATGAACAAATCACATAAAATTGTCTATATTATAGAATTATTTCATACATACAATTTGTAAAATATTTCCATTATAAGCTATAAAGTTTAAAAATACAACCCAGGTGTTCTTATTTTGATACAAATAAGAACACCCTATTCCCCATATAAAATGAACTGTTTCATAAATACTGGTAAAATCTTGAAAAACTTTCCATTTCTGTTTATAAGTAATTTGTATAGTGTAACAACATTTAAAATGAAGTTAGATCAAAACTACATCAAAATAAAAACACCCATCATTTTAAGTTAGAAAGATCAGATATCATACTGTGTGTACTATTTAGCACTATGGTGATAATTCAAAACAAGAGTGGCACATTACATGCCCCACACAAATATAACAATCCTCAATTTGTACAATGGAAATTTTGTGCAGGAACCACTTTTCATCTGTTAATTATAGTGATTCAGCTTCTGAAATGGATAAATTACTTGTCTTTTCAATTATTGTGATTCTAATGAAGAGGTTCCTACCTTACCCAAGTGTAGTCCTGATCTGTGATATAAAGTTAACTTTATTCTGAAAACTTTTTATCTTTTTGCAGTCACAATGATTTGGATGTTTGAAATTTTGACCAAATATCAATAAGCTTCTTCATGACCTCAAGTGCAAGCCATCCACAAAATTTCATCCAGGTGTTTTGAACTAATGTTACTGTATTCAAACAATTTTATTCTTTCAGTCACATACTCCAAAATCAATATGGTTCTTTCTTACATCAGATAAAAGCCATCCACAAAGTTTGGTAACTGCAGATAGTGGAGAACTTAAGCCTTTGTGGAGAAGCCATTTTTTCTTTCAGTCACAGGAAACATGACTTTTGGAATTCAAAATTCAAGTCAATAGAGTTCTCCTTTACCCCAGTGCATGTCATTCTTAAAGTTTTAGTAACTGCAGATATTGGACTGATGGACAGCTTCATAAAATAGGACACAAAAGCCTCTGATAATATTCCAAGACTGTTTTTATAGATAAGAATCAAAGGGCTTTTCAAGACTGCATGAACCTTTCCAGTAACATACATTACAAAAAAATAAGTGGCATCCTAATGTTATGACTTGCTTATATATACAGTGCAAATATAACAGGTTGAATTACATAAAAAATAATCAGTGTTTGAGCGAGAATACAGAATAATGTCTTTTCTAAAAAGAAACTCTTTGATAGAAATTATGATCTTTCTGAAGTAGAAAACAATGAATGGGTTTATTATAAAAAATTACGGGAAGCATTTAAATTCAAAATTTAAATAAAATTTACCATGAAATGATAAAATCTCCCCAGATCTGTCAGAGAAACTCAGTTATATATCAAACTTTAATCACCAAAAGATAAAGAGTATGTTACTGCAAGCTCCTTTTGTCCATGAGAGACTATTTCTTATTTCCCCCTTAGATTACCTCTATCCACAAAGTTTTATGACTCCACATTATATTTATAAGATACATGAAGCTAAATTAAATGTTGTGATGGCAAAATGAAATATAAAAGAAAAAATTTACCTGAAAATGGAAATATAAAATAATAAATTCATCTGAAAAAGGCCTTTAAAAAAATTATCTGATAAAATTTTTTTATCTGAAAATGGCCTTTAAAAAGATCATTTAACAAAATCACAGATATAATACCCCATTCAAATATCAATGACATAAGGAATGACATATAATCCATATTCTTACATAGCAAAGTTTCCTTTATATTTAATTTTTAATTAAAGTAAGTACTAACTAGTAATGTTTATACCCGAGATCCATGTAATGATGCACCCTCATATATTGGTTTGTCTTGTTTTACAGCATGGCAATACATTTTGTACTGAGGTCTTGTACAAGAACACAACAGTGTGGCTAAGTCAACATGTTCCCATCAAAAGATTCAATAACACAACTATTTAGTTACGAGTACAGCATGCTATCAACTAAGCCACCATGACTCTTAATTCCATTAGTTGCCTATTACTGCATGCAAGATGGCACAATGCAACTATTATACATCTCTGAGCTTCCAGGTTGTACACACATGTATCTCATTTGCATAATCTTTAAAATAAATCTGTAACATAAAATCTTAATACTGATAGCACTCCTGCTGTAAAGTTTATGTTAGCCTCATCATGTTGTCGACTAGTATAATAAAATCAAATGAAAACAATTAAAAAATCTGGAAGACTAGATCATAAAACAACAATGTTTATAAAGTCAGTGAAATACTCAATCTGGTTAAAAAAGAAATAGTAACATATATTCTCAGTGACAAGTCAAACTGTAACCTGTACAGATACAGGTCTGCCAATACCTAATGTGAAAGCAGATCCGAGTCTATGCAGTTTATCAGGAGTATTCAGTAAAACAAAAAACACCTTACAGACACAAGTCTAATACAGTCCTACCCACTTACGTCGACAAGCTGCCTATCTGGACAAAAAGCAAAGTCCTGGTCCCTTGGAATACTATTACTACCAAATTTGTCATGCTTAAAGTCAGTGTTGAGATAAAAAAAAAAATATGTATATGTTCACAAAATCTCCTAGTTCCAGCTTGAAAAAATCCTTCATTGTCTTATGATTTATGTCGACAAGCTGCCAGATACTACCCATTCTTAGTTCAGCAATTAGTTGATCTTGCCGCTAGGCTTTAATTTTACCACCTTATCATTTACAACAGCATGCGGCCAGTTTGGACATGTATTTTATTCAACAATTAGTTGATTTTCCTGGCATGCTTTAATGTCACGGACAGATTTTTTTTAAAAAAGCACAAAACAGGCTTTTGTTTGGTACTATAAAATTGGCCTCTCATGGCAACTTATAATAAAATAAAAGCAATGAAATCTGAATTGATTCTTACATTTTCCATAGAGATCGGTGATTAAAACAGATTTATTGTGCTGTGAAAGTTTCCTTTTTAACTTTATTTTTATTTATGATGACTACCAACACCAGTGTAAATGCAGATTAAATTTACAGTCTCTGGACACTAAATACCTTTCAGGATGACTTTTGTCACTAAATACATGTACTGTTTAAATCAACTTGTTGACAGGTTTTCATTTCCCCATGAATAACCCCATCCCCTTGGTAGGCTCAATAAGATGGGAACAGATTGACCAAAATCTAGGCCAATTTAAATACAAGTACATGTACTTGAAGCACATAAATAACTGATAATGCCGACACTGAATATCATAATGCTTTTCATATCAGGATATGACCAATGCAATATTTTATTGTGGATTTTATTACACAAAGGTAACCAAAATGTAATCTGTCAATATACAAGTGTCTTTCACACTGTCTTCATGTACAGTGGCAGAGTGGTCTAAAGCTCTCAAGGTTATGGATCTCTGCCATCTCACCTGTCTGTGTAAGTTAACATATCTTTTTTTCGCCCCCTCCTAACACTTATCTTGACATCCGCCTATGTTGACAATATTTCCTAGGGCCCGAGCATGTCAACATAAGTGGAATAGGACTATAGCTAAAATGTAGGAATAGTTGGCCAAGAAATCTAGGCCATTGTCATTTATTAAAACCAAAGTCTTTTATGCCAGGATGCTTTATGTCAAATTTGGATTTTCTATTTTTGTAATGGTGGATTACATTATTGTACAAAATTTAAAGCAATTCATGCAAGGGTGTCAAATTTGATCAGATTAAGTTATGCTTTTTTAAAAATAAGAAATCTACAGGTTTTTCAGATTTTAATAATTATATCCATATTAGATGTAGGACCAGCATGTTCAGTAGAAACTGGAAAACACTTCAGGCCAGACTGCTTTTTCAAACGTGATCAAATTATGTTGAAAGTTTTGAGAAATAATCCTTCAAAGCTTTTTGCATTTTTAGCAAAGGTTGTTGTTGTTGTTGGGCTTAACACCATTTTTCAGCACATGATAGGCTATTCATGGCAGCCAGTATTAATGGTGGAGGAAGAAACCAGGAAATCACCGGAAAGAACCACTGACCAACGAGAAGCTACTGGCAAGCTTTCTCATATATCAACATTCACCGAATCAAA